CCATATGCCACAATGCTTTGTCCATTATAGATGCTCTATTAATATTTATTGAATAAAAGATTGAAGAGCATATTAGTTTTTTTCTCTCTCCAATGCTGGATTTATAGTTTATTTTTTTAACATAAGGAAATATTTCCTATAAAATCCTAAAAGATGCGGGAAACTTCATTGAGCATATCTTTTTCTTCCTTCTTTAAAAATATTTTTTTTGGCTATTTATTCTTAATCCAATTACTTTAATAATTACTGCTGTTACTATATTTAGAGAAGGAAAGCAGCATGGTATTTGATCTTTAATAGTTAATTTGGGTGGATTTATATAGCCACAGTTTTAGTTGGCTGGCGTTTCCCCCTCCTTTCCCTTCTCTTCCTCTTTGTTATTATTATTACTGTTCACACTTTACTGAATTTACTAATTGGCTACAACAATCACTTAATGTGATTTATTTATAATAGGACATTGTAGGTCGAGAAACACAGATGAGACAGAACCTGACTGGCACATCTTGGCATTGCCGCCAAGTACATGAATGTGTAAAATTCATTGACATCCACCTGGGGTTCAGTTAGAGATTTTTTTTTTTTCCTCATTTTTCAGATGAGAATGCCAAGTTCCATGGGGACTAGGTGACCTTTCCCAGCACACATGGCATTTCCTTTTAGAGCAGCCTGGGACTAGCTCCCTGTTCATCCCAGCAAGGATTGAACTGGGTGATCCTGAGTGAATAAAATATGTCAAGACTGAATTATAGAATGTAACATTGACTGTGGTATAGACTATGACCTGTACTTCAAAGGGCATAAATTATTTTGTGTTTGACTTAGGAATATTAATTCCTTTTTCTGTGCACATTTTAGTTATAGATATAGATGTGTCATGGTTTCCAGCATGAGTTTATTTATGGTGTTTGGAACCAACTATTCTAATGCTTATTAAATGTAAATTTGATCCTAGGTTATATCTTTGGTTAAAAGTGTTGCATATTTTTGGTTGTAATTTAGTGAAAATTTTAGTATGGATTTTTTTTTAAGTTTGAAACAAAAGTTAGGATTTTAATTTGAAAACAAAATTAAAAAAAAAAAAAACTATGATGGTCCTTGGGGCTGGAGTTGAAGCTCTGGCAGAGCACTTGCCTTTTGCATGTGAGGCTCTGGGTTCGATCCTTAGCACCACATAAAAAAATAAATGAACAAAATAAAGGTACTGTGTCCATTACAACTAAAAAAAATTTTAAAATATGGTGATACTTGATTAAAATAGGTGAATAAATCCCTTCTGGGCACCATACTGGAATTTTCTTTACTATCAAGTAAAAATGTATTTTCTTGGGTTTCCTAATCAGTAGATAAGAGGGCCAGATAACTAACTCTCTGGTCCTCGAATTTTCCTTCTTGCATCCTAAATGCAAGATTAATCCTGTTTGGGAACAAATTCCATGATTCATAATTCAAAGGAATTCAGGGAGTCCAAGGTGGAGTCTGAGTCTCATAGGAAGTGGAGGTCAGCTCCAAGCCCCCAGTTGCTAGCCCAGCCCTGGCAGGCAGCTCATGTCTCCCCTCCTTTGTATCAGTTCTGAGCATGGAAGAGATGCTGTCATGAGGCTCTGGGACTGGGTTAGTTTTCTGTCCTTCCTCTCCCTTACACCTTCGCTCTCTGATTTGTTTCACCACAGTTTGGTTTTGTTTACTTTCATATTTCACATAAGTGGAATCACACAGCACATTCTTTTTGTGTCTTTCTTCTTCCACTCGATGTTTTCCAGAGTCATCTGTGTGGGGTGGTAGCTCATCTGGTTCCTGCTGAGCAACTCCATCTCTGACTCAGCCACTTTTGGTTTATCCCTCCTGTGCATGATGCGTATTTTACTCAGGCCTGATTTCTTGCTTTGTTTATGTTCCTCTTGCTGTTTTCCCTACCTCATAATGTTTGAATGAATGTGTCGACCTCTTTTGTTGATTTTTCTCCTGAAATCAGGTGAACTTTGCATACACAGTCCTTTTTTCAAGTGAGCAAAGTTAGACTTTCTGTTATCTTTGATTATTGTTTGTGTTCTACTTATTCTCTCCTCCTTCTGAGTACACTGGCTGCCCAATAGTTAATAGTCCCTTCTCTGGTCCTTTGCTTTTTTAAAATTTTTATTTTGTATGAAAGGATAGCTATCCAACTTATCCTCTTCATCACTCATTCTATGTGGCATCAACAGTGCTTTTTATTGCTGCTAGAATAGATTTTGAGTTTGTATTTGTATTCGTTTTTATTGAAATTCTCATTATCTTACATTGCAATACTTTATATTATTGCTATTTACAATATTATATTGTCATCTTATCCTTTTAGCTGTTGGTGCATTTTTTACCTTTACATAAGTCACATTTACTTGTACTTTCTTGAATGTATGAAACCTTTTCCTGAAAATTTATTTTGCATCATACCATAAGAAATATTGAGAAGGAACCTGAGAAAGAATTCCCTCTGTTTCAATGTACTTTCTTATCAGTTATCTTTAAAAAAAAATTTGTTTTTTAGTTTTAGGTGGACATAATATCTTTATGTTTATGTGGTGCTGAGGATCGAACCCAGTGCCCCATGCATGCTAGGCGAACACTCTACCACTGAGCCACAACCCCAGCCCTCATCAGTTACCTTTTGTTTTTTCCTTCTTTCCTTCCTTCTTTTTGTATTATCCTCATAAGAGTGAGTTCTGTACATAACCATATGAGTTGAGTGGATTGTACTTTTGTTCCATTTCTAAATTCTGTGGTCTGACAATTTGATCCTTTTTCTTTTATCTTCCTTTCTCCCTCCCTCTCTCCCCCACCTCTTTTTTTTCTTTCACAAGGGATTGAACCCAGAGGTGCTTAACCACTGAGCCATATCCCTAAACTTTTTAATATTTTATTTTTGAGACAGGGTCTGGCTAAGTTACTGAGGCTGGCTTTGAACCTGTGATACTCCGATCTCAGCCTCCCAAACTGCTAGGATTACAGGCATGTACCACTGTGCCTGGCTCAATTCTTTTTCTAAGCCTTCAGCTAGCTGTAGGGCAGACTGATGGGTGCATTTCCAGTGTGGTTCCCAGTTTTAGCAGATGTTGACTCTCCGTGTCTGAGCTCCGCTGCAGTTGCTTCTGCCTCCTACCTCTTCGCTATTTCTACATTACGATGCAGTGTGATTCCAGCACACAGCATTAGTGGTTCTTTTGTTTCTCTTCTTTGCACTACAGTGCTTCTCAGAAATTCATCTGCCTGCATCTGCTCCCTGCACTTTCTGTCCAGTTACTTTCTGAGAATTGTATATCTCCCTGGTTGTGAGAGGAGATACAGGTCAATGGAGGGGCCCGGCTGGGGAAATGATTTTCTGTTTAATCTAATAGCAGCTTCTCACTGATCAAGAAGCCTTTCCATTTAGGTTTTTACTTGGTAAGTTCTCTGGGGTCTGAGTCAGGACAAATGGTGGGAGGCACAGCAGGCCTCTTCTTTCTTCTTGTAGGGCTGCTAGCTTGAAGTCAGGTTGAGGGGTGCCGGAAGCTGGGAGTTACCTGCCTCTCCCTCCAGAACTATCTGCTTTATAATTAGCTCCAACTTACTGAAGATTTGGAATTTAGGTGGTTCTTCAGCCTTTGTTCTCAATGAGATCGAGAGTTTTTTCTTTTGTCTTATTTTTCTTTTATGTTTTTTTTTTTTTCTCCAGCACTTTCATGGAATGTAAAGATAATTTGGGAATGGCAATTAGGGCTTCTAGCCACGTGTCATTTTAAGAAAGACATCTGACTTTACATTTGGAATAACTTGAACTACTTGAGCTTGTGCATTGCACACACTGGTAGATTCACATGAAAATATTTAAATTCATTAGGGCTTGATATTTCAAGAAAAAGATCTTATAAATCTGTTGTTGAACAAATTATCCACTGGTTAATTCTGGACAACTAAGATATACTTTTCATGAGTGGGAATGAAGAGGGAATCTGACCAGCTGGGTGATGTACGTGCCACTATTCAGTTTTTTCAGGGCTCATGTAGAGGTCATTGGGGTGACCTCTAATTTCTGCTCTCTGAGCCCAAAGATGAGTTTTGTCTGGGTTCCAATAGTTCTTGTGTATTCACTGACATAACTGACCTGCGCTTCCCTTTTGCAGTTTTCTTTTCCCTGTGTGCATACCATGCAAAGCACGATCTTGAATCATGGTTGAAACTTTCCTTTGGTGTATTTTTAAATATTGATGTCTGAGTGATTGGTTAATGTCAGTTTTTGCAAATGGTGAACTCTCTTGAATGCTTTCCCAGAAGAGGTGAGATTGTCTTCTCTGACTTGTACAAAGATGTCAACAGTGCGGATATGAACCAAGGCCCTAAGTCTGGCATTTTATCTTTTACTTCCTATAACTAGGACTTGGTAGTAATGTTTTAAGTGGTTATGTTTACTTCCACCATGCAGCCAGCGCAATGGTTTCATTAATGAGGTTCTTGGCATAAAAGTTAGTTAGCGAGATCGAAATAAAACACACAGACTCAGTTACCTTATTTCTATTGCTCCCCTCTCTGGTTCCCTCCTCTAACTGCCCAGCAGGGCAGCAGGGATTACTCAGGGCTAGCAGGAGAGAGAGAGAGTGAACAGCCTGGGAGTAGCTTTTTATTGGGGAACAAGAGATTCAGGGGAGAATTCCATCCAATGAAGGTTGAGGGGGGACTGCACTCCAAGGTCAGGGTCAGTGATTGGATCCCCGGGGTCAGTGGTCAGGCACACCCCCACACAGATGGGCTCTCTCATCAGGAAAGGGCCAGGAAAGATCTGACACAGCCAGAATGCCTCAGACCCTTAACGGGAGTCACCCAATCACGTGTAAGAATGGCTTCCCACATTTACTAAATTTTTTTCTCACCTTTTAAGATATCAAACTAAGCTAAGGGTACACTAGTGAACTGAATTAAAGATTACTAGTCTTGTTAATATGCTCTTAATGGCAATTCAAAACTAGTTTGCTTTCTTTCTTTTTTAGCTTAATCCTGATTATCGAGATGCCCAAAATGAAGGAAAAAATGTGGTGAGTAAAATTTTTTCTTCCCTAATAAATCCTGTATTTCATATGAACAAATGGAAGATTTAGTGTCAAATTTGAAGATTAGAATCTGTAAGAATCTCTCTCTTGAGATTCTTTGAGTAGAGCTATGGATGAAAGAAAAAAGATAAAAGATGATATAGCTTAGATTATAAGAAGTCCAATTAAATCACTGAGGGAGACTTCTAGCAATTTGAAGAACAAAAAAGGAAAACAAGAACAAAAGTGAAAAAAAAATTACACTTTCCCCCCATTTAGCTGTTGGTCATTTGTGTGTCTTCTTTTGACAAGTGTCTGTCCCATTCTTCAGTTGGATTATTTGTTCTTTTGCCATTGAGAAGAGTTCCTTATAAATTTTGGATGTATATTTTGCAGATACTTTCTCCTGTTCTGTAGGTTGTTTCTTCACTCTGTCAATCATTTCCTTTGATGTGCAGAGATGTTTTAGTAACACTGTTTGTCAAAGTTGTGAAACTTTTGCTTTTGTTGCCTGTCTTTCTGAGGATTTATCTAAAAAATCCTTGCCCAGACTAAAGTCATATAATATTTTCTATCCATTTTTTTTCTAGTAGTTTCATAACCACCAGGGAAATGCAAATCATAACTACAATGAGATATCACCTCCCTTCAGTTAGAATGACTATTATGAAAAAGACAAAAAATAGCAAATGGTGAGGATTTGGGGAATTCTTATACATTGGAGGTTGAAATGCATAGCCATTATGAAAAGCAGCATGCAAGTCCCTCAAAATTTAAATACAGAACTGTAATATGATCCAGAAGTTCTACTGCTAGGTATATATCAAAAGGAAACAAAATCAGAGTGTCGAAAAGACATCTATACTTCCATGTTTATTGTTACACTGTTTACAATAGCCAGGATATAGAATAAATCTAAATCTTTATTGACAGATAAATAGATAAAGAATATATGGTACATGTATAAGAGAATACTATTCAGCACCGAAAAGATGAATCCTGCCATTTGCCACAACATGGATGTACCTGGAAGATGTTAAGTGACATAAAAGAGGCACAGAAAAACACATACTGCATGATCCTCACTCGCATGGAGAATCTGAAAATGTTCATCTCCTAGGAGTTAAGAATAGAATGGTGTCTGGAGGCACATATTCCTAGAGAAGAGATGACACAGGCTTTCTCCAGTGCAAAATCTCCCCCTTAAATAGTTCTAAGGACTAATTGTCTAATAATTTATTTATATATAGTAAATAAGAGAACGAGGTTATGTTTATATGAAGTTCTGCCCAGTTAGTGAATTAAGATTTTAGTAAAATATCCATGCAGTTTTCTTATTTCCATAGATGCCACCAGTGTGTCCTTTCAACTGCCTTTGATTTAGAGGAAGAATGAGAACTTTATGTGCTGAATTTGCACTTAGTAGGACTTCTTTGCATATGTGTGGTACAGGAAATCTTAATATGCATCCTCTTTTTAGGTTGTCCTTCACACAATTTTTGACTAGTTTGTTTTTCTTGACAAGCTCTTCTCCTTGGAGGATCCAGCCTAGTATCTGGATCTCCCAGCCTGTGTTGAGGGTGGCTGGTTCTTCTGTCTCAATGTCCACTAGCCCTAGACTTTGTTGCTGCAGATTGATCCAGTGGGTATGTGGGCTAATGACCGTGAGTCTTTTTTCTTGTTTAAAGGAGTCCCTTTTGCTGAATAGGTGATTACTATTGCTGTAATGTTAGGAAAATATTTAAGTTTGTCCTGAGCATCCATTGCCATTTGGTACAAATGACATTTGTTCTTTCTGTGAAAGAGAGATGCCCTTGAGTGTGTTTGCACACAATCTCTTAGGATGACAAGTTGAAACATCAACTTCATGCTGGCTCAGTGACAAGCAACGTCACAAGGACAGCTGTAGGGAGATTGGTCTCTTCTAAGTCATTCTTGTCAGTTGCTCCATTGGTGATAGGGCCCCTTTCCCTCTTCCCACTTCAATCTAACTTTAGTGTTTGCTCTGATATCATGTGTTGAAGCTTGTACTGCTGTGGAAGTTAATGTCTGCTCTCCATCAGGCTGTGCGAGGTACATGTGTGGACTTGGAGCATGCACACTTAGTGCCGTAATCAGTAATGTTTCACTGTGTTCAAACACATCTACATAGAGTTTTCATTTGGAAAAAGAAACCTACTAGCTTGATGTCCTAAAACAAAAGCTGCTAAAAATCATAAGGAAACCAATGAGGAGGAAAGGTGACTAACTGACTGAAACGTGCTTCTGCCCTGAATAGCCCACTTGGCTGTGGGCCTGCACACAGCTCTTCACTAGTTGCTTTGAAGGTGAAGCAAGGCCTTTGAGTGAAAAAATGGTTAGAAAAAACATTGAGCACTTTCTCTTTTTGCAAGTTGGTGAAAACAGATTCATCCAGGGAGCTTTATCTTTTCAAGTATCATATTCACTCTGAGAAACCTTGTTTTCTCATGTTTAGAGCATGCTGGGTTTTATTTAAAACTGGTTAAAATAAATGTTATTTCCAGGTGGAAAAATGACTTTTGATTTGGTTTGAGGCTAAGAAAGGGAGGTGAAACTGCTCTTTTAATTTAATAATTGCATTCAGCCAATGATGAAGTATTTCATTATTAGACAAAAATATCACTAATAAGTTTTCGGTTGTCTGAAATTAATTGTAAACATCAATATGGTACTCTTCAGTTATGGTAAAGACATCTTAAGATGAATGGCTCATATTTTGGCACAGTATTTGAAGTTCAAAATGTTACAACAATAAACAAACTCTCGGGTGTGGGGTTGTGGTTCAGGGGTAGAGCACTTGCGTAGCATGTGTGAGGCCCTGGGTTCGATCCTCAGCACCATATATGAATAAACAAAGTTAAAAATCCATTGGCAACTAAAACATATTTTGAAAAAAAATTAACAAATTCTGAAAAAAAAAGAATAGAATGGTGGTTTTCAGAGGGTGTGGAGAGTAGGGGGGAGGAGAGAATGGGAAAAGTAAGTCGATGGGTATAGAGTTACAATTAGGAGCGAGAAGTTCTAGGGTACTGTTGCACAGTAGTGTGAATATGATTAACAAGGATGTGCTGTTTATTACAAAATAGCTAGAAGAAAGCATTTTGAATGTTCTCACTACAAAAAAATAATAACTGTTTAAGGTAGTAGATAGATATTCTCATTATCTTAATTTAGTCATCACACAATGTATACATGGAATGAAACATCATATTGTACCCCATAAATATGTACAATTATTTTATGATTAAAAAATAAAAATTAAAAAAACCCCAGTAACACTGCCACCACCAAAAACCCCATAAATTTTACCCTTTGATAGAGAGTTGAGTGTTCAGCTAACATGACTACTTGTGTTTGCATCAGTGCACAGTTTATTTGGGGGATGGGACAAGGGAATCAAGTCAGAACTTCTAACCTGATCGAGTCCTGCTTGGCTGACTCTCCTCTTTCCATTTGACTGTTGGGATTACAATAGAAAGGAAGCTGAAGTCTCGTGCCATTGGCCCAGTGAAACTGTAATTTGTGTCAAAATAGCCCCCAATACAGATGTAGGCTTGTTCCATCAATTAGATCTATTTCTATTTCCGTTTTGTCACCCTGGGTGGGCTCTTCTCCTCTCAGGTTTCCAGTGGCTGCCCAAGATTGTTGGATTCTGTTTTTCCTATGATTTAAGAATATGCTCTCAGTAACCAGTTTAAAAAGCGGAGGATGGATCATGGCTTCTTTGGTTCTTCCTTTGAGTTTGTCACTGCAGCAGAGGCCACCAGAAACACGCCTGCCATTGAACAAGTTCAGTTTATTACTCTTCACAGGGAGATGCAGGCACAACATGGGAGAACTGCTGGGCATCTCAGGAAGAGCATGTTATGATTTGGACTTGTGTAAGGTACTTTTGAGGAGAATTTGAGGAAGTGGAGCTTTGTCATGGATAGGGATGATGTTAGGAAGAAGAGAATCTTAATAAATTTTACCTGAAAGGAGGGAAGGCTAAGGATGCTTCATCAATTTATGTTAGCTAGGGAAGTATTTAGTCATGTTTGTGGCTTGGATGGTATTCATATTTTGTCTGTTTTCAGACACCATGAAGGAGGGTCCTATCTTCGTCTTGACCCATCATGGTCAAAGTGTCCTTGTCTGATGTCGATCTTGTATGTCATTGTTCATGTTGGCAAGAGGACAACCTAGCCTAGCTGGAGTATACCTGTTGGATGTCAGGGGCTGCTTTTCTTTCTTTCAAGGGTTATTTTTATAACATTCTGTGAGGCTTCTTTAGCATGGTTTAGGACCAAGAGGGCCCTACATCTAGTAACCACGTGTGTGCCACTGGAAAAGTCAGAGAGCTTTCTTGAGACTCAGTTTCCTTATCTAGTGGGGTGAAGATGTTTGCCTTATATACCTCATCTGGGTGCCATGCGATAAAATGGGATCAAACAAAGGGAAAAATAAAATAAGAATAAAATAAAAGCTGTTAGTAGGCTAGCAATAAAGGTTGTCACTATTACAAGGGCATGATATCAAAGTTTCACATTGAGCGATTGGATTACATCTCTGTGCTCATTTTCTTTCTGCTTCATACTGTTGGTGGTACTGGGCAGAGTGGAGTGGGAGAATATGGGATATAAAGGTATGTAGAGCACAGAAAATATAAATAATTCATGAATCTGTGGCGAAGTTCACTATTTGTGCTAATCCAGCTTTTACCCTGTCTTGATACGTATTTTTTTTTCCTTTTTATTTCAAAACACCATTTCTTCATTTGCCTCTGAAGGTGAGAAGAATGCTCTTCTGTTTAAACAGTTGTCAGCGGCATTTCCTTAATTGTACACAAGACAGGTGGGGCTGCATTTGCTGGAGATGTTTATGACTGTATCTCATCTGTCATCTCAGAGAGACATCCAACTGGAGACACTTGATTTAATTTTTTTCCTCTCCAGAAACCCTAGCTTGAGAGTAAACAAAACAGAGAGTATGGAACTATAACGACA